TGCCATGGTGTCACCTCTCCAGAGTGGGCTCCTTTGAGCTCTCCTCCAGTAGTATCCTCTTCTCTCACAATTCCTCTTACCCTGCTTTATTTGTTTTCATTGTACTTTCAACTCTTGACATTACTGTGTTTTCACTTCTTTACTTGTTCAATTATTTTTTCTCTTTTCCCCACTAAAATGCAAGCTCTGTGAGAAGAGGAACTGTATTCAGTGCTGGTCCCTAGCACTTAAACAGTGCCTGGCACATAGTAGGTGCTCAATAAGTATTTGTTGAATGAACTAAATCATGAATGAATGAATGAATGAATGAGCCATATAAGCAAAGGGGGAGAGGACAAATGTTCCAGACAGAGGGGACTGCAAGTGCAGAGGGCCTGTGTCAGATAGAGGGTGTCAGAACTGAAGGGTGTCAGGACTGAAAGAAGGCCTGTGGGGCTGGGGTACAGACAGGGAGAGGTAGTCATGGAGAGATGAGGCGGAAAGGTAAGGACAGACGAGACAAGAAGGACCTTGTAAGCCATGTTACAGGATTTTGGCCTTTATTCTAAGGGCACTGAGAAGCTATTGAAGGAGTTCAGATAAATTGAGAATTGTGTTTTTGTAAGGTCCCTCTGACAACTGGGTGATAAGTTGACAGTAACAGGACAAGACAGGTGAGGGGAACCACTAAGCTGGCTGTCAGTGTTTCCCAAGGCAGAGATGAGAATGGTTTGCATTTGGATTCTGGTTGATGGAGAAACAATCTGGTACTGCTTCTTATCCCTGTGATCCAAGGTGAATGGCTATGCTGACCAGACCCAAGAAGCACAAACTCAGACCTAAGCTCTCTTCATTGGCACAGAATTGAGCCATGTGAATAAGGCATTCTTTTTCCCCCATGAGTATATATACAAATTCAGCAGACCCTGATGGAGCGTTTGCCGTGTGTCAGGCCTGTGCCAAGAGCTGCAACAGATACAAAGATGGATAAATGTTGCAGCAAGCCACCCAAGGGAAATACCATCCTGACAGAAATAATGCCTTTCTGGCTTTCTTATATTCCCTGCCTTGCCCTTTGTGTTCAGTTCTGTTTTCACGCATCTGCTTCGTATTAAATACATCTTTTTATCCTGTCTGCTTACCCCAAGGCCCAGCCAAAATTAGGTGCTCAGTACATATTTGAATGAATGTGCATTTTCCTCCTTGACTATTGTGGAGCCAGTTCCCTAAACTGAGGTTTCCCTCAAAGTTTACTGACCTCAAATCAAAATCATTTCAACTGTCCAAGCCAAAGAGAGAAGAATAACTTGCCTACTCAACTCACAAGGCTATTATGAAGGAAAAAAAAAAAAATTCAAGGGTCTTGGCAAACTTGAAAGGTATTTGAATGATAATGCCCTGCATTTGCACTGCCCTCATTACCACTGTTGGCTTTTTTTTCTGTTTATTCAGCAAATATTTATTGAACATTTACCTTGTATTAGGAGCTGGAGATACACGGATGAACAAGATACAGCCTCTGCCCTCACGGAACTGACATTCACATGTGTACTGGAGCACTGTGGGTCAAGGTAAAAAGAATTTGAAAATCACTACCTATCCAGTCCCATCACTGCACAGAATACAGATGCCAGAGTGGCCAGCAGCATTTCCCCTTTTCCATGATTGGTTGCTTCTCACTGCCAAGCTCGTTTTTTACCCATGACCCCACGTGGCAGGCTTTTCCCCCTTGGGTATACCCAGAAGATGCTTATTAAATATTTCAAAGATTGCAGCCTCTCTGCAAACAATGGCAACAGCTTTTCTTTAAGTTCCCATTAATAGTGTCCCCCATTATTGTGTTTTCCACTCTCGGGGTGTATGGTTAACAGATCGTTTTCTTTCCTCTTGCATTGTAAAAGTCAGCAGGGGCCTTGGAAACCCTGATACTAGTTATAATTTTCTTGCAGGCACTGAAAAGTCACGTAGCCTCTAGGGTCTCTGATTTCTGAGAGGGGAGAACCAGGGCAGGGGTGGTAGGGGAGGGAGGGTTACACTAGTCCCCATAATTACGTGATCCATACCCAGTTCTCCACCTTCTCTTTCTGCTGTTTTCATTCCGGGGGCTAACCACGAAGACACTGTCTCAGAATTTCTTGAGGTAGCCTCCATACGCAGAGGCACACAGGGTACCCGGGACAACAAACACGAGGACAGAGGCGACGCCGTGTGCAGCCTGCGAGCTGCGGTGCGGGTGAGACGGGGACTGGACGGAGCATGCGCACCAGTGACCCCACCCTCGCGCTGGCGGCGGGGTGGGCTTGGCGTCCGCTGCGTGAAACGATTGGCTCTGCTTAAGGGTGGGGGAGCCCGCTTCCGCCGGACGCCGGAAGTGGCTCCCTGCCCCGTCAGTGGGCCATGGAGACCCGGGGACAGTAGTGTCTTGAGTTGTGAGGCTTTCGGGGACGGCGGCCATGGAGGCTGTGCTGAACGAATTGGTGTCTGCGGAGGACCTGCTGGTGAGGCCCGGCCCGGAGGGAGGGAAAAGGAAGATTCGGAAGGGCGGGCCCTGAAGAGAGTCGGGTAGGGGCCAAACACTCATCCTAGCATCAGCTTTGCCTAGGGAAGCCAAACTAGCTCCCGGCAGCCTGTGCAGCGTCCGGCCCCTGCCCAGGAGGTCCACTTTGCCCCAGAGGCTATCGGGAGTTGTAGTTTCCTTCGCCACCACGCCATAGACTCAGGGCCTGGAGTCTGGGTGTGCGCAGGAGTTGGGAGATAAGCGTGCGTACACCTGTTTTTGAGTGCTCCTTCAGTGGCGGGGAAACGCAGCGACCACCATAAAGATATATATTACTTATTGAATCAGGCACTGCACTAAGTGCCTGGCAAGAGATATCTCAATCTTTGTTGCTCTAATAGGAGATAGGTACTATCTTTATTACTGTTTTTCGGATAAGAAAGGGTCCAGTCTCGGCAGGGTGGGGCGAGATGGGAGAAGCAATCTCCTACAGGACCGCTGTTGTTGAGCAGTTCAGACAGCCTGTTTACTGTTCAGCCTCTTGGGGTCAGCTGCTCCGGGAGCGGTGCCTGGAGCCGCCACCAGGTGGCATCTCCTCTCGGTACCACTAGGGGGAGGGAAGCAGAGAGGATCCGTCCCAGGAGACAGCCCACTACTAAGAAGCAGAATGCCTGCGTCCCAGGGATGCAAATGGCAGAACCTGGGACCCTAGAACCCGGAAGGAAAATGTGGCAGAGGGGAAGATAGAGGGTTAGTGGGAAATGGACACCCAGATCCTGCTAGAGAGTGGCTTGCCCCCTTTATTTCTAAATGACTCCTCTCCTCTCCTGTGGCAGAAGTTTGAAAGGAAATTTCAGTCTGAGAAGGCAGCAGGCTCGGTGTCCAAGAGCACGCAGTTTGAGTATGCCTGGTGCCTGGTGCGAAGCAAGTACAACGATGACATCCGTAAAGGCCTTGCTCTGCTGGAGGGTGAGGTGCTAGGCTCCCTGACTCTCCCGTTCCCAATTGCCATCGTCCTCTACCACTATTGGCCAGGGTCACTCCATCCATCTCAAGTGCTGGGATCCTTTTTCAACATGGGCCCTCATAGTACAGCCACCTCACAGTTATTTTCCAGTAAACTCACTGGGAAAAAGGGCTATACTTAGCCTGACTTCTCTCAGTGCACTTTGGGCTACTCACCACCTTGTCGTTGTTTTGCCAAACAGGGTCAGAGCATGTCAGTCCCCACAGGACTTTGGTGATCTGGTAGTCTAGACATTAGAAAAGTGACTTGCTTCAGGTCACACAGCTAATTACTTACGGGCTGAATTAGGACTAGAAGCTCCTGTCTTGTGTGCCCCAGTCCTGTGCTCTTTGCCCCCCACCATGTTGCTTATTTAGCAGACCTTTTGTGGGGCTGGCATGGGAGAAATACTGAAGATGGTCCCCAAAACCTGTGAGCAGATGGTCCTTTTTTGATCAGAATCCTATTTCCTGTTGGTTTTTGGATGGGTCACCATTGGTCAGAAGCTATGATACCTAACCTTTAAATTTCTCTGTAACCCTTTTCTCTTGGTCAAGTAGTGATGTAAAAGCAAACAGCCACTGTGCTAGCCAAGGATGCCTATTGTAAATCCATAACAGTAAGAATCTTCGTTAACGCAAATAATCTTACCTTCCGTTTGTCTGTTTTGCCGATTGCAGTTTCTCAGGTTTCCTGTACAGCAGGGCACAGCTATAGCCATTGCCAGTCTAGTTGAGGAGACAGTACAGACACTTGGGAAGATTTATAAGCACCTGCAATACTACCTAGCAACACATTCTAGTACCTAGAGTACAACCAAACACAGAAGCCTCTGGGAGATCACTGAACTAAGGAAGGAAAGTGGGGACCTCGGGGAGGTGAATTAAAGGAGTTTTGAGCTGATTTTTTAAAGGGGGAGGGAGTGCAGACTTACTTTGAACACTGGTCTGGACAGCAAGCAACTGTAGGTAAAATGCACAGCAGATGCCAGAACTGAGGAGAGATGCCTTTGGCTTCTCCAGTGCCTTGATTTCCTTTCAGTCACTTGGATGAGCCAGAGTTGATTGTAGTATTGATACCGGGGCATTGACCCCCAGGGCGTTGATCCCCGGGGCATTGATCCCCGGGGTGTTGGGGCAGCCTGGGTTCACGCCTCCCCAAGGAAGCCCAGAGTGACTAGAGCTAAAATGGAGGCTCAGGACAGTGACCTCCCAGGATTATATGGGGATTCAGAGAGTGGAAGGGGTCCCTGGGACACAAGCACAAGGCAAGGTGGGAAGCGGTTTTCACTCTCTCCCTCCCTCCCTCCCCAGAGCTGCTGCCCAAAGGGAGCAAAGAGGAGCAGCGGGACTATGTCTTCTACCTGGCCGTAGGGAACTACCGGCTCAAGGTGAGGCAGAGTTCCCCGCTCCCTGCTCCGCCCCCTGGCCACAGCACCCTCTGTCTCTCTCCAGAGTAGAGCCCGGGCCCTCTGGAAGGCCACAGAGGCCATTAGGTAGGGGTGGTGTTGGGTACAGAGGTGCAAGGTGATAGCAGGTCAGGAAGCTGAGGGAATGTGAGAGACAGAGGATCAGGGTGCTGAGGGTGTGGGGAGCGAGGTGATGTCACCATTGGGGTGCAGCCTCAAGCCTTGGGCTGTTATCTCCCTGGGCTTATCGCCACCACACAGTTGGGGTGGTTTGTGGACTCTACTCTGTTGGGTGGGGCTGCAGTGGGGCGGAGTAGACGGAGGAACCCCAGGGCCAGCGGAGGGAAGGCTCCTCTGATGGGCAGGAAGAGGGAGAGAATTCTGAGGGGGTGTTTTTTGCCCTGAGTGTAGGAATATGAAAAGGCCTTAAAGTATGTGCGGGGGCTGCTGCAGACAGAGCCACAGAACAACCAGGCCAAGGAACTGGAACGGCTCATTGACAAGGCCATGAAGAAAGGTGAAGGCCTTCCTCTCTGCCCCCTCCCTCTGTCTCCCTCCACCCCCTGCCCTCCTAGCTCCCTGGCCCCCAGCATCCCCCAGTCCTTCTCAACTCTGTTAAGTCCCCTTCCTTCCCCCATGCCTGGGGCCTCCGGTCTCTCTTCAAACAATGCCCTCCAAGCACTTCCTCCTCAAACCCCCTTCTTTCTCCAGCCCTCGGAGGCCCTCACCCCATGACTCCAGGTAGAGAGGCACATCTCCTGTTGAGCAACAGCGGACAGCATGAAGATGGTGGCCGAGGTCCTCACAGAGACTGGGTTTGGACTCCTGACAGTTTCGTTTTTCCTCTCCCCAGATGGACTAGTGGGCATGGCCATTGTCGGAGGCATGGCCCTGGGCGTGGCAGGACTGGCTGGACTCATCGGACTTGCTGTGTCCAAGTCTAAATCCTGAAGCAGACTGCATCTCTGCCTCAGCCCAGGGATACGTGGGAGCCCGTGGCAGACACTGGAAGAGAGGCCCACCTGTCCTCCCTGTCCCTTTCTTCTCCTGCACCCTGTCACTGTCCCCTGTGGCCTTCAGCTTCCTTTCCCCTGAGATCTGTCCTTTAGCCCCAAATCATGTGCTTTGAGACGAGTGTAAATAAAACTGGGCTTTGGCATGGGAACCTCAATGTCCTTGTTGAGAAGAGGCAGGTTTTTTTCGGCCCCAGGGTGGGGGTCATACATGGGCCTTCCCTGCTCTGTGCCCTCGTTCTCCTACCCGCCAGGCTGATGTGGGGTTCTCCTTTGTCCGCCGAGCTTCCCAGACCCCACACCCTTCCTTCCTCCTCCCGTCCAGCACAGGGACGTGGCCTTTGCACGGCCTTAGAAGCCTGAGAAAAAGCAGTAATCAAAGACAAGAAGGGCAGAGCTGAAGGGACGGGCCAGAATTTATGTCTCCCGTCTCCTCTGACCCACTCAGCTGCCTCATGGCATGTGGAGTTTTCCACACCAGGGGGGCCTCCCCACTCAGTTTCCTCCCAAACCTCCACCCTTCCCTCCCTTTGTCTTCCTGGGTCCTCCTCTTCCTCCTCCCCATCCTTCTCTTTAGAGGAGGTGGGCCGCTGGTCGGGGGAAGGAAACGGGCATTTGGCACAGAGTCAGCAGAGGTCTTGAGAGAGGTTAGGAACCCAGGACATCCTAGTTGTAGATGGAAGTTTGGGACCCAGTCCCCACCCAGCCCGCTTTGCCCAGCACCCTCCCCGTGCCAGGCTCAGCGTGGGCCTGTCTTGCATACCTCTCGTTCCACAGTCCAGCCAGCTCAGCTGGCAGGGATTGGGGAGGAGGCACCTGAAGGGAGCACGGAGGAGCCTGACACACAGAGAGGGGGTGAGGGGTTACATCTCAGTGATGTCCCATGTGACTGCCTGGGTGTAGGATGGGCCCCTTGGAACTGAGCCTCAGCCACATTCACCAGACAAGAACCAGTATGTCCCAGCATGGCCTTGAGGCGGGAAATGAGACCGTCTACACCAGGACAGGTGTTTAGCCTTGGCTTGGGGTGGGGACACGGAGGTTTCTAATCATAATTAATAGAGCTGGTGACGGTTCTGATAACTCAGAGCTGCTTAGATTAGCAGCACAGGATCACGTCCTGGGCTTGTGATTTATCCCCCTCTGGGCCCCCTTGGCAGCAAGATCAACCTTTTTGCCGAAAATCAAAGATCAGCCCAACAAGGGGGGAAGTTAAAGTTCAGGAAGTTGAAGTTTAGAGGAAAGCAACCTCACCCCGGGCCATGGGCATCCAGACCCAGGACACTCGCGTAGTATTAAGCCATGTGTAGTTGTGGGGAGCTTTGATCTGTGATTCTTAAAACGACTATGAAGTGAGCAGAAACAAGCTCAAGGGGCTCAAACTGCATGCCCGAATCTTTTTTGGTAAATGGTGGGACCCGGTTTGAGTCCAGGTTGGTTGGATTCCAGAGCTGTGGGTCTCTCTCAGGTACCCCATTGCCTTATTCAACCTTAATCTTCCTCAGAGACTCAGTACCTCAACCACTAAGTCTTTTGAGTTTCTTGCTTGTTCTCGCTAACATCCCAGAGGGGTGGCTCAGTTCCCTCCATCCTTCCCCTCTAAAAGGTGCCTCCAGCCGGCTGTGGCTAGGCTCTGGCTCTGGCTCTGCTCTCTCAGCCACCTTCTCCCCTCGTCCCCTCTGACTCCAGCCTCTGGCCCCCATGAAAGCTGAGTCAGAGGCAGACGCTTCCCCTTGGCTCCCAGTGCCTCCCTTGGGAGCCCCTCCTTGGCGGCATCCGTTAGTCACTCCCCAGTAAGTCCTCTCCCTCCACCCTCGTGGGGCGGGGAGCCCAGGGCAGCCCAGAGGCTGGGGGGAGGGAGTGGACTTTTGGCCCGTTCCGTTTATTCCCTCCATCTCCTCGTCAGCAGCCGCTGGGCGCTCTTGGCTCGTTCCCCTGACCGACCTGCAGGGAAGCAGAGAGACCCGGAGAGAGGGCAGGAGGCGAACCAGAGACAGGGCCAAGGAAGAGGCAGAGGCTGCAGCCTGCCTCCCTCGGTCTCCCCAGCCTGCCTTAACCACCCTCTTTAGCCAAAGCCCTTTCAAGTTCACGTGGGGCTCAGCCCCTCCCCGTCACCGGGGCCCCCGGCTCCCCTCGGGGCCTGCATCCGAACATGTCGGTGGCTGTGGAGACCTTCGGCTTCTTCCTCGCAGCCGTGGGGCTGCTGATGCTCGGGGTGACCCTGCCACACAGCAGCTGGCGAGTGTCCACCATACACGGGAATGTCATCACCACCAACACCATCTTCGAGAACCTCTGGTATAGCTGTGCTACTGACTCGCTCGGAGTCTACAACTGCTGGGAGTTCCCGTCCATGTTGGCCCTCTCCGGTATGGGGTGGGGAGAGCGGCGGGGAACAGAGGGAGGCGGGAGGTTGGAGAGACCCCGGGGAGGGTGGGTGTTGTCTGTGGCCTGGCCTTGGGTGCCATATGGATAAAGGAGGCCGGATCCTGCTCTGAGACCTGGGTTCCTGCAGTTGGAAGCTCTGGGGGCAGCCTTCTTCCTGGAACTACAGCAGAGGTCTCATCACACATGACCTGCTGCCCTAAGGTGACCCTCTGTCTTTGTGGTTATAAGGGCAGGCAACAGGGTCAGACTGCTAGCTTCAGCACCTGCCATTGGCTGGCTCTGTGCCTGCACAGGTGGTAAAATGAGCTTCATTTGACCCATCTGTGAAATTAGGGTCACAACAGCACTATTTACAGGGTGGTCATGAGGATTATATGAGATAAACTGTGCGAACTGTTAATGTGATGTTAGCATCTAAATGTGCTCGATCAAATTTAGCATTTTTGTTTCTGGGTGGGAGTGCTGGGGCTCGTGGGGTGGAGAGGAAACCCCATCTTGGATTCCTGGGGGTTGAGAGACTGAAAAGTTTCAGTAGCCTCAGCAGGCTTCCACTGGGGCATCGCTCTCACCACCATGGTGAGTTCCAAAGGGCCGTTTTAAAGGGAGTCCTCTTGCATGTTTCAGTGTCCCCTGTAAGTGGGGGGGGGTGTGCCTGTGTGTTTGGGGTGCTTGGAGCAGTGCATTTTTTGAGGTTCTTGGCGGGGTGGAGCCTGCAACTCTTTTGGCCCAGAAAGGTCTCCCTGGTGGCTGGAGCATCTTCCTGCTGCCTCTGCCCCTATGAGCAGCGCCCCCCATTCTCTAGGGGAGTCCTTCAGTCTGTCCCATGCCAGGCCAGAAGGGGATGACCAGGAACATGGTGCGGCCCCTGTGCCCTCACTGAGTGCTCCTGGAACCAGCGTGCTCTTCCAGGTCTCCTACTGCTGGTGCTGTGTGGTAGGGGAGGGAACTGAAGCCAACACTCCACGAAATCCCTGCCATGAATGTCAGAGATGCTCTGAGTCAGTTAGGGAGTCCAGGTGGGTCTTTTGTGCCCCCAGCTATTCCCAGAATCTCCTGAGGCAGCTGCAGGGGCTTCATGCTCTCATCCCTCTCTTCAGGACCCCCTCAACCAAAAAAAAAAACAACAACAACAAAAAACCTATAAAAGCTGCGGACAATCTAGGCCAGACACCAAGAATGCCTGGGTGGCCAGGAGGGACACTGACAGCAGCCAGCGCAGCAGTCCTGGGGATCTCCACCTCACCTACCCCTCAACCATACTGTGGTGTGAGAAGGGGACTTTGCTGCGAGCCTGACCACCCAAGGGGCCCCACCTGGACTGCTGCACTTGACCTGAGACCTCTCATGAGTGTGCACCAAAGATGGAGGTGCAGGAGCATGCTGATGGGCAGAGCAGAGCACAGGTGCCCGGGCTGAGGTTCCAGGCATCATGCTGGGTCCTTCACACGCGCCATTTCAGCACTGTTTACAGACCTGCAGTGTTAGTAACTCCGTCTTACAGATGCTGGAAAACTGCAAGGTGACCCACCCAGAGCCACACAGGTGGCGGGGGCCTGGAATCCAGACTTGTGTGTCTGAGTCCAGAACCAGCCAATACTTCCCAGGCTGGTTCTGATCCTGTGAAGGGTCCTGCCATTTATTCACCCCCTCCCAGCCTCTTAGCATATGATTTTATGGGCCCTTCAATAACCTCCCTGTGTCTAGGAGAACTCCCTGGGGATCAGGAGCTGGTCTGCCCAAGGAAGGGGTGGGTAGATGGATGGCCAGGGAAAGGATGTGGGGAGGGGGAGGGGGTAGGAACTCTGGAGGGAGTAGCTGGAAATGAGAAAATGCTCCCAGAGAACTTAATCCCTCCTCCCTTCTCCCCAACTCTGGGCCACTTCACATCCTGGCAAGGACCCAGCCTTTCCCCTCCAACACGAGTGGCACCACCCCACCTTGGAAAGGGGTACAAGGTCCTTGGGAGTACTTGGCAACTATCAAAGACAGAGAAAGAGGAAGGGGGGCCCAAAAGGGAGCCAGCCATTTGCTTCTGGTTTGAGAAAGGGGAAGTGAGGCACTGAGAGCGTTATGAGCTGGACTGACTTGGATTGGTCCTGGGCCCAGGTATCCCACTTTCCAGATCAGAAGTTGCCCTTTACCTGGTGACCCATAGGCCACTGCTGCCCCTTATCGATCACTCCAGGATGTCAGTTCAGGATGTCTGGCACTGTGCTAGGCACCAGGTGGGACCTGGAGAGAAGCAGATGTGGGGAAGGGGC